CACACACACATACTCCTTTATGATTTAATCTGCTGGAATACACTTTTGAAACAAGAACAAGAACATTTACACCAGACATTTCAACAACCACATAATCAAACCGTGTTAGATAACAGTTGTAGACATCCAAAATAAAATAATAATAACGATGATAGTAAATAAACAAAAATAATTTTTAGACTCCAAGCCTCAAGGAAAAGAACTTGAGAATGGCTGCAACTTTAACAATACTTTTTGGAGACTTTTTCTTCTATCGTTATCTCGGAAGGGTGGCTGTGGGTGAGTGGTTAGGGGAGTCGTACTCCAATGAGAGAGTTGGTGGTTCAATTCCCTCGCTATTCAATCATGTTTAAGTGTCCTTGGGCGAGATACTGAAACACCCCCCACCCCCACCCCCCACTGCCTCTGATGTGTATATCAGTGTATGAATGTGATTTGAAGCACTGATTATTCTCCATAGAAATCTATCTAGATTATCTTTGAAGAGAGACATAGTGGAGATATGTGAATGGGTAAAAACTAAACAGATTATAGTGTAAAGTGCTTTGAGTATTCTGGTTGTACAGTCCATTTACCTCCAAATCTTAATCAGTTGTAGATACTCATCCAGTGTTTTGTTTTCAGAAAGTTTTATTAAAATCTGTCAATTGGGTAATGAAATACAGTATTTTGCCAATGCTACAGGCAAACAAAACCCACAAACATACACCCACACAGATGTGAGCAAATACCTTATCACCTTAACTGCCTGTCACTAAGGTAATCACCACAGTGACAGGCAGTAAATACGTAGCAATCAAATCTAAATTAATCCTAATCTGTGAAATTACACAAACCAATAAGATATTAAAAATGCTTTATCTAAAAGTGTACCTTAATTAATTGGGTCTGGAAGAAGAAATACACAAAGTGTCTGACAAACAGCCCAACAGGAGGAAGAGCCAGAAAGCACAAAATCCTACGAGGCAATCAATCAGTTCATTTTGTCCGTCTAAGCCTGATTCCAGTCCTCTAAAGCAGTAAAGTCAACTGGTAATTTGGGAGTGAAGTGCTTTGGGGTCCATTACTTCAGTTGAATCCAAGAGCATCTCTAAAAAGTGCTCTAAAAATGGAAGAGCAGCTTAATCAAAGCACTAAAGGATTCTTCGAGAAGAAAGGCTTAAATATAATGACATGTTAAGAAGGAGTGTGTTCTGACGGAGACGGAACTAGTTTCACATAAAGCACCATCACAATTTGATTAGGCTAAAGACAGAAAGTGAAAACTGCAGTGTGTCATTTGCTTTCTGTTGACCTAAATGGCAGTGAAAGCGAACGGGTTTATTATATTTTTTTTTTCAGATTTTATTTCTCACAATTTATATTTTACCATTTCATTATGTCTGCTTCTTTCTTACCAGATATTTGTCTCTGACTGGAAGTAAAACCTTTAGACACAAACCATTAGCAACTCAAAAATTCATATATAAGGCCTAACATTCCTAGAAGGAATACATATCGCCCGCTGCCTTTCACGGCACAGTTTTAAACTGAGATCATCTTATAATGAGATGTGATGAAATTGTATCCCTTTTTGTCAAAGCGTATAAATGATGTTAAGTGTGAAATAAATTCTTGCTGATGTGTTTGCTCACAGTATGTGTTGAGGATGAGTCTTAGCAATTACCGCTTAAATGTTAGGTCAATACTTGCAAAACTGAAAAATGTAGAGCTTTTTTAGTGTTGACTAAGGTAAGTTGAATGTGACTGCCATCTTAAACTAATACTCCTGTGTAGTTGTACGTCCAATTATTACTACCTGAGAGTTTTATTAAAATTTATTGAATGGCTCGTGGGATATTTTGCTCACAAGCAAACAAGATTGACACCAAAACGTTATTGGCAACACTTTAAACAAAGATCTCATGCAGTCTTATTTCTTGGATGGAAAGAAGAATGGCTGGTATAAATGAGCTAGCAGGGCTAAGCACTCCTTAACATTTAAAGGCACAGTGTGTAGGATTTGTTGTTTTCAGCGATATCTAGTGGTTGAGTGGTCAAATCATCCTCCCTGGTCCTCTCCCCACCTCCACCCCGAGCTTCCAAACCCAAAGGAGTTGCTACGGTGTCTCTCAGGTGTCAAAAACCTTTGATAATTCCAACCGCGATGTCTACCAGCAGCTTCAGGGCTAGTGATGTTTCAAGTGGTAAGATTATGAGCTTTAATAAGTAAAATTATCCCAGCTACAATGACAGACAACAAATATTACATTTATAGTAATACAACTAAAACCATTTTTGACGCCGCCACCGCAGTTTGTCCTTCATGAGCCTCCGTAGACAAGATGGCGGTGCAAGATGGTGGCTACCTGTACTGGCAACCCACGACCATGGAGATATAAACAGCTTTTTATAAGGTAAAAATAATAAAACAATGTCTTTGTCTGCAATGATTAGACATGTTTTTTATTATTGTCATTAGTGATTATCTCAATTCCGGCTAAAAGAATTGACAAAATCCTACACACTGCGCCTTTAAACATATTAAATATTAACAATAGAAAAATTACTATCAAACAATGTTTAAAATGATAATGTTACATTGTGATTAACAGCATCAGCACCAAAAACTCAAAAACATTCAATTCTTCTAATTGTGCTCATTTTCAGCCCGAACAACAGAATCATCAGATTTCTATTATCTTTAAGGGATTGAGTGATAGACAGGTGTTGGGCCACATACCCTTGATTTGCTGCTTATTTGGGCTAATTCTGTTCAGCCCAAAGGCCAACTGCTCGAGCCAGACAGAGTGGGCATAACATGACGTTCTCTAAGCTTGTGTTGGCAAACTGCAGATGGAGAAATGAAGCAACGATGGGCATTACCATGAAGACGGTGGATTAGTTACTTTCTCATCCATTTTCACTTTTAGGAGTGAAAACTAGATGTGAAGAGGCTTGACACACAGACTAAATGCTATTCAAATGGACAAACAAAAACGTGTCATTTTTGTTTTACTGATTTTAATGAAAGAACAAGCTAACGGTGTGGTAACATTTTACACATTCAGTGAAGTGCAGAGAAGAACTGAAAGCTGAACTAATGGTGATGTACAGCGGGGCATGGGGTTAGTGTCAGTAATGCAGCTTTAGAGAGTTTTTTTGCCATCCAGCGAAGGGGATTAAATTGTTTCTTAGAAGTAACTTGGATCAGGACATTCTGAACACACTGTGTTTACCTAGTAGGATTTCATCCAGAAATCACTGACCTCCCTGAAACAGGGATAACTTTGTATTTTTTGTCCACGAAAAGTCGTCAGTGTGAGCTTGTTTAAAATAAGGTATAAACTGCTCAAACAGGAATGCTTTTGAGCTTTCAATTTGTCTGTTATTACTGCAGTTATTACCCTGTTTCAATTTGGTTGCATAAAAAAGGTCGGTGCAATGTAATAAACATAGTTTTATTGTGGAGATAACGTGCATCTGTGTTTTTTTAAGTAAAGAAAAAATAGAAAAAGAGGGAAAAACAAAGAGAAAATGTAATTAGAAATATTGAAATAGAGATTAGAAATATATTAAATATACACCAAGAAAACACAGGAACACACATCCAACATCTGTCCGCTCACCTGAAAAATAAAAATAAATGGATAAATACATGGATGGCATGCATACATAT